GGCTTCAACGCGTGAGTTCTGCGTTTGCATGTATTATGCTGCGCTGTTGTCATGCTACTTTCTTTTTCACATTGTTATTTATATACCCGCCGTGTCTTTTCAATGTTGCAAGCCATGTATGTATATATATATATATATATATGCATGCATGCTATTTTGAGTTTCCCAAAAGTAACACCTTAAAAAGTAACCCTAACAAGTTTTATATAGTATGCGTCCATATGTTGCATGCAGTGTCTTCATGACACACAAGCAGTACGATACGTGTGTGCGTGTGTGTGTGTGTGCGTGCGTGCGTGCGTGCGTGCGTGCGTGTGTGCGTGTGCATGTGTGTGCGCGCGTGTGTGTGTGTGTCTGTACGCACGTCTGTGTGTTAGCTACTTGTAATATGTTGTTGCCATGGTAACGTCATGTGTTTGTTCGTCTGCAGGATGCTGTGGCTGGTCATCATCTGTCTGCTGCTGCAGGGCTTCGCTATTGGTGGACAGCTAGTACCAGGGATGCTGGACATGCTGAATTCTGCCAGGTATAACCCCACGCCCCATCCACACCTTATCTTCACCTGTCTAGAAAGGGGAGCGACGCTTATTTTCGGGGATATATATCAAGAGTACATAATAGGAGATTGCCTATTATGTACTCTTGATATATATGTATATATATATATATATATATATATATTATAATAAATGTATATATAGATATATGTGTGTATATATGACGTTGATCTTGTAGGTGGCATGGCTACCCGGACGATTTTGAGACGTACGGCCTCATTGCTGGACTCTTCCACTCATGCGTTGCTCTTGGGTGAGTACGTCCACGCGCGTGCACGCGTTTATATACAACCCGCGTATATATCTGTTCTCAGCAATCATTTACAATCTTTCTATGATATGACTCACATTTATATGTGTGTGTGTATCTACTCCAGCGAGGTATGACTGACATTCATGTGTGTACTAGCAAAGTATTCGTCTAATAGACTGTAATATGTCCGTAATGGATTGGATTTGCATGTGCATCACCGTGATATCAGGATCTAATAATGACAAATTTGTCATTATTAACGTCAAAATTACGTCAAAATAACGTCAAAATTATTATGACGATTTGTCATTATTAGCTCCTGGTGATATGTATGTACACGCATATATACACATGCACGTACGCACGCACGCCCGCACGCATGTACGCACGCACGCATACACGCACGCATGTACGCACGCACGCACGCATGTACACACGAACGTATGTACAACATCACGCACGCACACGCGTACACACGCACGCACGCACGCACGCACGCACGCACGCACGCACTCATGAGACATAGTAATGATGTCTCTCTCATGTGTGTTTGCTTGCAGTGCGTTCGCTGGGCCTTCTCTTGGAGGGTTCCTCTATGAGGCGGTTGGCTTTCCCTGGTCATCAACTATAATAGCCGCCTTCCAACTATTCACTGTAAGTACTTACTCGTTAAATTATCAGCTGCTGATGATGATGACGATGATGATGAAAGTAATGGTGACCATGGTGATGGTGATATTGATAATTGGTGATGATGCTGATAATTTTGTTGATGCCGCTTGTGCGGCTAGTGACGTTAATTTGATGATGATAATATTTATGCCGCTGGTGATGATGATGACGACGACGATGATGACGACGACGATGTGTGCGTGTGTGTACGTATGCGTGTGTGTGGGCGTGTGCGTGTGTGCGTGTGTGTGCGCATGCGTGCGTGCGTGCGTGTGTGTGCGCGTGTGCGTGTGTGTACACGTAGTGTCACGTATTTCTACCGGGGTTCAATAATATTTTATTAGTTTTTCTAAACACTATCTGTGTGTAACCTCAGCTTTGCATATATGACATGTAGTCATGCTATACCACTATTACGCAAGCATAATGTAAGCATAGGTGATGTGTGATTGTGAGTGATACTGCGTAGTTGTATATATTAATGATATTAAGTAATTATGATATTCTATGCGTGTACTTGCAGGGCCGCTGTAAGCTACTGATGTTGACAGCCACGACTGCTAACACAGTGGCGTTTGCCTTCTTGGGACCGGCGCCTATATTCGGCTTCGACGCGTGAGTTCTGCGTTTGCATGTATTATGCTGCGCTGTTGTCATGCTACTTTCTTTTTCACATTGTTATTTATATACCTGCCGTGTCTTTTCTATGTTGCAAGCCATGTATGTATATATTCATGCATGCTATTTTGAGTTTCCCAAAAGTAACACCTTAAAAAGTAACCCTAACAAGTTTTATATAGTATGCGTCCATATGTTGCATGCAGTGTCTTCATGACACACAAGCAGTACGATACGTGTGTGCGTGTGTGTGTGTGTGCGTGCGTGCGTGCGTGTGTGTGTGTGTGTGTGCGTGCGTGCGTGTGTGTGTGTGTGTATCCACACCCACACATGCACGCACGCACGTGAACTCTGATCAAGACCGGACGGTCGGAAATTTTTGTTTCACCCGCGCACGCTCACGCACACACATGTACATATACATGTTAACCTGCCTACACCATCCATGCGTCTGACGTCGGCTGCTGCTGCTGTGTTACAGGCTGGTGGATACACGCTCCCGTTCGTTGTCGTCGGCGTCTGTCTCCTCATAGCAACCGTTGTCAACTACGTGATGCTGCCCGCCGGAGTCGGTTAGTACGCAGGCTGACCAGTAGGTGGCGCCATTCAGCAGCTCTGTAGCCACTGACCTATATATAACCCTTATATATATGTGACCCGTGCTGGGATTTTTAGGCTCAGGGGTCAACTTCTGGATGTTGAGATTATTCCATAAACTGATTCCTTAGACTCTCAGCTTTCAAACGAGTCATAAAGTAACTCTCTACCCCAAATAGAACCGAAGATATGATTTCCTGAATTCGTGAACAGATAAAACTTTATTTACGAGAAAATTGAGTTTAAAATAAAGTTAAAAAAAACAAACCCGGAACGAAGTTCCCAAACCTCGCTGCACACTAAAAGCGGTACAGCAAAACCGACTGAGATGACACGTCAGTTTTTTACATCTAAAGATGATTCTGACCTGTCTGCTTTTTTGATAAATTATATTTGAGATATTAAATAACATATTTACGT